TAGTCCAAACTCCTAGTATCCCCCTTAATAAGCCCTATAGAAATCCCCTACATAACCCCTCTTTAAGGAGTTTAGACTATAGCTTATATAGAGCCGCAAAGGAGCCGCTGTTTTTCTAAGTCCAGTTACAAAACAAATGGCAGCCTAAAAGACACGCGTGAGAGCCCCATGCCGTTGTTCCTGAGCAGCTGCTCTGAATAGTTTCCCTTAATAGTGGACCCCAGCATAGACCCAAAAATACTATAAGCCTTACTATGGGGATCCCCCAAAAGGTACCCCTAATTTTGGGAGACCTCCACTGGACAAAGGCTCCCACCGGCTGGAATTTTGCCATGCTGAAGATTTCTTCCGCGCCACTTTCCTGGCCAGGACGCAAGGAATCCCAAGGCTGCGGGCCCTGACCTCAAGACTCTTCTTCTTAGTGGTGGTTAGTAGGGAATAAGGGAATATATAATATGAGGATTATATAGGGATTTTATTCCCTTTTTCCCTTATCCTAAACCATTAATCTTTACACCTAGACCCTAAACCCTGCGATGTAGGGATTAGATTCCCTTATTCCTTACTAACCGCGAGTAAGTCTTGCAATTCTGGGCTGGCTGGTCCGGCCTCATCTGACTCCTCCCTACGACCGGGCGCCGAGGATTTGGCAGCCGGTGGACCTTGAATCCATTACTGGTGGTTAGTGGGAAGAAGGGAACATAATCCCTATATCACAGGGTTTAGGATTTAGGTTTTAAGGTTAAGGGTTTAGGATAAGGAATAAGGGAACATAATCCCTACATAATCCGTATATAATATACTCCCTTATTTCCTACTAATCCCGCTTGCCAGCTGCAAGTATGTCTTATAGTATCTCGGGGTCTGTAAACTACCATTCAAGGATTACAAGGCTATTATGACACGGCCACATGTAAAAAACAGTAGGATGTTCTTTACCTTCTGGTGGTCAGCAGGGAATAAGGGAATAATATGTTACAAGGAAGTATATACGGATTATATTCCCTTATGCTCTACAAAGCCCTAGACCCGAACCCTACACCCAAACCCTTAACCCTAACCCTAAAAGTTAATCCCCAAAACTCTAACCCTAAACAAGTAAGTTAATCCCTATAAGCCCCAACCCCTGAACCCTAAACCCCATAAGTTAATCCCCAACCCCTACACCCTAAAATCCCTACCTGGACCCCAAAAGTACGTAAAATCATGGCCCTTATGCTTATTATTATGGGTTTAAGGCTATTATTTTACATACTTTTGGGGTTTAGGTAAACCCTAAACCCAGTAAGTAAATCTTGTAACTTCAGGCGAGGCAGATGATTTGGAGCCCAACCTCGCCCAACAGCCACTGGCCTGAAGCGGATTTGCTTGGGTACAGAGTTGTAGGAACTCTTTGGTTTAGGGTTTAGGGTTTAGGGCTCTATCTGGGGATTGCCTGGAGCGGATTTGCTTGGGTACACTCCCCCAAACTAACATGGAAACCCATATAGTCCCCTTTTAGAAGGACTGTAGTCTTTATAGGACCCTTTTTGGGTTTCCATGTTAGTTTCCGGGAGTGTATAGAGTTGTAGGAACTCTATCTGGGGATTGATTCTATAGGGATTTTATGGAGATTATATAGGGCCATATAGGGGGGTTATATAGGAATGATGGATAAGGCTAAGGGTGTATATAGCAATGATGGAAAATCATATGTGAAACCCGACGGATAATGAAATTGTCAAAGTGTAAGTGGCAATTCGGAAATCCAGGCAAGAATTTGGCCGGTATTGGCGCAAAAACGCCCATGAGGAGCCATGAGGGTATTGGGAATGCCCACACTGCTCTCGTGAACAATCTCTAGACTTCCCTGACACTCCTACGCAATTTTGGCGCGTGATGCCTCGTGCTTGTGCAACATGTGCTGCTGACGTAGACTTTGCCAAATAGGTGGTTGTAAAAATTATTGTCCCTTTTTGGGTCCCTATTATAATACGGCACCTAATATTTAGGGTACCCAAAAAGGGATCACAATTATGACAACCACCCAAATGATCTCCTACAATGACGCGCCCTTTAAAAGGGCTTTCGAGACCACCAGGCCGATCTGAAGGCGCACTTCCACAAGAGCCATTGTCTAAACTCCTAGCATCCCCCTAAATAACCCCAAGAATATACTCCTAAATATAATCCCCTATATAACCCTTTAACGAGTTTACACCCCGAAACCTGAAACCCTAAACCCTATACATCCCTGTATAATGTTTGATCCAGATTAGTGTGGGGGCGCTAATTGGCGAAGTTTCGCCGAAATTATTCAGCACCCCCCCTGTTCGTTTGGGGGGTTTAATTGTGCGAAGTTGCGCGGCCAAAAAAAATCTGAGAACACGTAACTAGAATAAATGCACCTACCTACGTTGCTTTGAAAAGCATGGCAGGCAGTAAGTATTTCGTTTAGGGTCCCAATCCAAGCTGCCCTTTGTTTCCCCTTACTAGGACCCCTTGTCCTGAGCTTCCAGGACCTCAAGTTTCATTTTAAGGTTCCAAGCCAGGTCCAACAGTATCGGTTAGGTAGACCCCCCACCCAGTAATAGTGACTATAGGGGACAAGAAGGATTATATTAGGGTCCTCTTATATTCCTATTATACCACTATTACAGGGTGGGGGGTCCTCCTAAAGTATCGGTTTCTTATGAGACCGCTTATTCGAGGAGGCCTAGCCATCATTTTTGCTAAGTAGTCTGGCATCTGCCCGGATCCTCAAGAATACGAATGTTTTGGGGGGGGCCTCAATTATCCGTCAAATCCGGGATGGCCAAAACTAGCAGAAACCTAAAACCTTTGAAATTTAAAGGCTCAGCATTTTAAGCCCAGCTTCCAGTACTTCAAGTTTCCGGAGTTTCAAACCTCATAACTCCGGATTTTAAGGTTCCAAGCCCGGTTCCAAAACTATCGATTTCTTATGGGACCGCTTATTCAAGGAGGCCTATTCCTAAGGGGTAGTCCAGCAGCTGCCGAGACCCTAGAAATAGCAGAAAGCAACAACCTTTTCCTTTAAAGGCTCCGCATTCAAAACCAAAGCTTTCAAGATCTCAAATCTCTGGACCCTTTCTAGAATTCTCCTTAAATCCTTCTGAAACGTTTCTGAAAACTGAAATCCTCTGGACTCCTCAAACCTTCGTGAATGCCTTCCGAAACCCTTCTCATCCATTGCCGCAGCCGATCCTGATCCCTTGTATTGAATCTAATGTAAACCTAGAATCCGAGCCGGTCCTGACCCATCCTATTGAATCTAATTCAAACCTAGGATCCAAGCCGACCCTGATCCCTCCTGCTGAAGTTCAAGTAAAACCTAAAAACCATGGATTGTTTGGGGGGTACCCCCCCCCTCCCCCTCCACTAATTAGGCGCCCATTGTTGCTTGGGGGGCGGGGGGGGGGGGTTCCCCTACACTGTTCAGCACCCAACATTAATCCCGTATAATCCCTTTGTAACCCCCCTTTAAGGAGTTTAGACTATAGCTCATATGCTTGCAAAACCCAGCTTGGCATGGCAGCCAGGCCTTGGAGTTTCTGGACCATATCCGCTACCTGCACAGGCCGTCAATAAGCTGCGCCAAGTGATGTATAGTGATAATGTAGGGATTGTATAGGGATAGTATTTGGGATAACATAGGATTTGTTATATAGAGGTTATATCAGGATTATACGCGGTTATATAGGGATGATATAGGGGTTATATGCTTATTTAGGGACTCATAGGGGATCCTCCGTTTCGTGGCCCCCTTGACCAAAAAGCAAACACCTTCCCTGCATAGTTCTGAGCATGCACGCCTGTGACACCAACCCCCGATTGGGATACTGCTGGGCCAGAATCGACTCCAGTACAATAGCAGCAGTAGCAAAGGCTCTCCGACTATTACTTGCACAATCCTTCATGTGAATAGCGCTCGCAAGTTGACTTGTGCACAACAAACAATCTGCAATACTTCGCGCATGCATTTACCACTGAACTTGAAAGAAACCATCACCGGCGACACCACATTCACTGCCCACCACAAGGACAATGTTATCTTCTCTGTTGTGCAACAGGATATGCCACAACCTCCGAGTTTAGCATTGGGTGAGGAGCGGCATGCTTCCAATGGCCCGGCGCCTGCTGATTCATCCCTGCTCCTGGAGGACGTGCTGATCATGCGAAGGTTTGATTGCATCAGAACGCTTAATGACAACCGCCTCCTTGAATATGTGAAGCTGCACTCCTTGCTCGCACTTCGCTCTGCTTGCAGTAAGATAGTGTGGCTGACAATTACAAGCAGTGATAGGAGATGGGATGTGTCGCAAAAACGAAAGCACTGCCAAACTGAAGCAGTCTGCACCCACTCTACTCTGGGCGTTGGCGACAGCGACTGCATGGCAGCAAAAGCTGCATAACCTGCTTTTGCTTCTGGTCTCACAGCCGCAGACAGCACTGAGCGCCGACAGCAGCGTTTAGGGTCTAACGATACAAATCATCGCATCCTCCAAGATTTTCTTGGAACCAAGGCATTCCATCAACTCAATCACTCTGTGAGCGGTTGCAGAGGCATCTTAATTCGCAGCCTGCTTGGTAAGACCATGTAAGGACACCACCTTCGCAAATACAATGCTACGTAAACTATTGATGACTGTTAGGCTTCAGTAGTCGGTTATAAGCTGTTGTAGCAACCGTGGGCAGGCAAAACGGAGTTTGCAGCAAACAGCCGCGAAGTCGGCTCATGCCGATGCGCATTCAACGCTGGCATTTAAATCTTCGTCACAAGGCTGGCCGGCAGGACTCATCGCAGCATCCAGCATGGCCCATTTTCTCGGGCTCTACTTTGTTGTCAGATTTATCCACGAATCGGAGGACTTGCCCACACGCCCTTCAACACTGCCGGTCAGGATTCAAAATATCAACTACCCAGCAGGGGCTAAACCGCACTTGGACGGAATATCTTGAACATGCAAGGCCCGGCTCAGGTCGCGTCATGCATGAGGTTGTTAGTTGATCAGTCTTGCTGCCTGCTCGGCAGTGAGGTGCTGCCCAAACTCGTAGTCTTCCTGGCTGCGCAAGCGGAGCAACGCCAGCTCTGATGACAGGGAAGCATCCAGCGTGATCACTTGACCTTTTTTTGTGTGAAACTTTGTTTCCCCCTAGCCTCAAGCGCGCTGGGTTGCTGACATGTTAGCTCAAGCAAACTGAAGTAGGCTCCTGTTCGCCATCCCAATCGAGCTGCCACTGATTAAAGCCAAAGCGAGGATTGTCCTGTCAGCGAGAACTTAGCGATTGCCGCAGGAGTCTGTGAGAGTTGAGCAAAGTCATATGTATGAGATCGGACTACGTAGCAGCCACGCTCCTGCCGGGCGGACAAAAAGAAGTCGGCATTGGTGATAGCATCGAAGACGGGCAGCCGTGTCTCGTGGCGGAGGGCGTCGGCGTAAGGCGGCAACCTTCGACTTCCCAAAGTGGGGTGCTGCAAGCCACATAATTTTTTGTATCTGGCTGAATTGAAACTGGAGTTGCAAGTGTGATGGCCATGTTTGGGGCCCGCATGGCGTTACAAGCTTTATAACCTTGCTTGCAGGCACATGCTGACAAAAACTTCCCGAGGCTCAGAAAGGGCACCTCGAGCATTCATGAAAGGGTGCAGGACTGAGTGGACAAAGCTTCACCAGATTTTGAAAATTGACCCGGATCTTGGCAAATTGTTTGGGATATCCAGACAGAAGAGCAACGGAACCCTAGACAAAGTCCCCTTCACTGCAGTCCCGGTGGCTCCGTGCATTCAAGCAAGATGGCGCGGATAGAGGCGTTCTTCTTCAGGATCTCTTTCACCTTTGTGCTTGGACAAGATATATACATACCCTATTATCATATAGTAGCATCCATTGTCTTTTCCATTATCCCAATATATCCCCAATATAGTATATTTCCCCAATATACACCCTATAATCCCTATATAACCCATTAATTGCATTTGCTTACCCCCGCCATTTCCAACAAAACTGCCCATCCCGCAAATGGCCCTGTCTGGGAATGGCTTGCAGTAAATTGCAGAGAAACGGTTGGCCTCACTGAGCAGGCACACCTGTTTTGCTTTCTGAAGCAGGTGCAAGCCTACAGCATACACAGAGAGAGCGTAGTGGCGGGTTCCCCCTGAGATGCTACTTGAGAAGAGCTGTCTCCGAAGCTTCGGCATATTTTTCAGATGAAGACCTAATGCTAAGTCTGAGACCATGTAGACGATGCCCGGCTGAACGTACTCCGTGTCCACCTGCATGCGCCAACAGCATGTTAAAGGACAATAGCTTCAAAAATTGGGACTGCCAGGTTTGCGTGCTGCTTGGCCTTCTCACCCTTCGCAACCGCGTCGAAGCCAGGAACATCCCTGCAGAACTGCGCGGCTAGTCTGGACAGTCACAGGCACAAACCCATCTCGCTTATAGATGAGGCGTTCATAGGTCCCTTTAAAGGGGTAGAAGGATTACATAGGGACTCTATTTAGCTGGGGTTTGAGCCGCAGTATCTGATCCTGACGCTGCAATTTCTTAGTATTATGGGGATCCCCAATATGGTACCCATAATTTTGGAAACCCCCGGAGCACCTTCAGCCTTGGACTCCTAACCCCAACCATTGCCAACGTTGCGCCCACACTTCCTATATCACATTCTGCATGTGTACATGTAGACATAAAAGCATATAATCATATAAGTATGTAAGTATATGATTGTACAATTCTGTATTCTGTTCCTTCGACATTCATATACTTATATATATATATATATGTATACGCATAGCTTCGAATACATCATTGTAGAAAAATGTATCCCTATACAACACCTATATAACCTCTAGAAACCTTTCGCAGAATCCTTGAAGTCCAGCCAGGAGACTGACAACCCCGGATCATGAAGCGGGCATCGTCCACATCGAATCCGCACTGGCTCAGAAGCGTCTCCTCCACTCCAGTAAGGACCGAGGGGTTTTGGGGGTTTCCCTATTTTAGGGATACTTTTCAGGGGGTCCCAGAATCAGGATTACAGTATTTGGGGGGTCTATATTGGTTCCTCCTATTTTTGGCAAACTACCATATAGGAGATTAGGGGGGTTGTTGTGGGTTATATGGGATTATGTTGCTACACATGCCTGAAAGGGTGGTGTGTATGCCCAGCGTCCTTTTGCGGCTTCAGCGTGTCATCATTCGCAGTGAGAATCAACACCTTCCAGGAGGAAAGCACTATGAATGCTATTCTCCTAGTTGAGATGCAAGAGCTTCGGAACAATTCTGTGAGCCTAAGTCATCTGCACTCTTGGCCCTGCCGCAGACCAGACAGCTTTGCACACTACGAAACAGAGCTCAGCTGCCTAGTGGCAGCGGCACAGGGCGGCTTTCGTGCACGCATGACCTTTTTCAAATCCTGCTTCGGGCAGGAAACACTAGCCCATGTGCTGGGCAACACCGAACAAGCCTTTACCTCGTAGTGTACGGTGGAATGCTGATTTTTCCCTGGCTGATAGCGGTTCATGTGCCCTTCCTTCACGGCAACGGCTGTGCTTCAAGATCCCAATCCCCCACGAGTTCTTAAGGAGAGACTGGGTGCTGGTAGGGATAGCTGGAGTAGGGAATGAAGCCAACCAGAAGACCGTCATCTAAGGGATCCTAACTTCCCAGTGGGCACGGGTAGCAAATACATCGCACAGCTATTCGCATTGGGCTTGTGGACTTGCCCTGTTCGCCTGCGCAAAAGATCACACTGAGAGGCATGAAAGCGCGCCAAGGCCATTGACGTACACTTTGAGTATGACTATTAACAACCTGAAGCGGTAGGCCAACTGGCGGACCATAAGGGCTACTACCGCAAAACCATATAGCAACAAACTATATCAGTAGCAGTGCCCAACCGTCATACTCAGAAACATACAGTATAATGCTTATTCTAGGGACCTCCCAAAAAGATACCCCTAATATTGGGAAACCCTAAACCCAAAGCTCTGTATATATATATATATTCATATAATATCCCTCTATACCCCAATATACATTGAACCCTAAACCCTAAATCCTAAACCCTAAACCCCCTTCCTTGTCGTACTTGTCGAAGGCAACAGAGATCATGGGGCACTGCATCATGGAGCTCCTGGGCTCTGTTGCTACTTTAGGGTTTAGGGTTTGGGGGTTTGAGCTTTAGGGGTTTAGGGTTTAGGGGGATATTAGGGGTATATTGTGGAGGATGCCAAAGGCATCTCTTGAACACAAGGTGGCACCGAACAGTAGACCCAAAACTAAACCCTGCCGGAACCCGAAAAGTACGTAGAATAATGGCCTCTTCGGCCATTTTTGGGGGTCTTGGGCTCTTATTGTACCGACTTTTGGGGTCCAGGTGAACCCTTCATAACCCGGCAAGCCCGGCTGCTCGAAATTGGGCTGCCAACAGTCAAAAGTAGTGTTCTACTTTTTCGGCTGACTATTTATTGTAATTCCTGCTATTACTATTATGACATTTTTACTATATTACTAACTATTACTATATTCAGAAGTTAGGGGTCAGCATCAGGCTGCATCTACCTCAGCATTCACGTGGGGGGTGCTGGGTGATTGAAGGATTGAGGAGTGGCCTATCGTATCCTGCGACTAGGTCAGCTTCTAAAGGAACTTTGAAGCGCACAGTACCTTCCTTGGTCCTTGCGAATATTTGACGTAAACTTCACGGATCCCTCCCGCTACGCCAGGCATACTCCGGGTTGTCCGTGCTTGTGCATGATCTTATGTAAGCTTCTTGATGTTGGGTCTCGGAACTCCTTCCTGCCAGTTTTTGCTGAGTCTAAGTGTGCGTTTACATATGTCCTGAAATGGAATCCTGGTAGGAAGCAGTCTTTGCGTTTTGGTTGGACACAATTATATTCCCATATTCCCTACTATAATTAACCCCAATATATACCCTATTCTAATGTAGTGATTTCCAGGTTCTTCCCCACTATCCCTATATAACCCCAATATAGTTAGCAGCCAGCAATTAGCATAACCTGGCTAGTCTCAGTTGGCCAGCCTTGCCCCAGCCTGCACAGAAGTCCGTTCTGCAAAGACGTGTCGCGGAAGCTTCCCCAGACCCCCTAACCCCTCAACCCTAAACCCCTAAACCCCCAAAACCCCCTAAACCCTAAACCCCTAAACCCCCCAAACCCCTAAACCCCCTACACCCTCAACCCCTAAACCCCCTCAACCCCTAAACCCCAAACCCCTAAACCCTCAACCCCTAAAGCCATCCAAGGCTCATGAAGCAAGGGACGCGGGCAACTTCACCTAGCGCAAAGCTTGTAATGGGTTACTACCTATAGGGTATAGGGCTTAGGGTTACTACATGTAGGGCTGATATTGAGGTTAGATTGGGATCGTGGAAAAGAGAATGGAAACCACTATAAAGTTTTATAGGGTATAGGGTATATATAAGGTTACATAGGGATAATGGAAAAGAGAATGGAAACTACAATAATAATATAATAGGGTATAGGGTATATGTAGGGTTACGTAGGGATAATGGAAAAGAGAATGGAAAGTACTATAATGGGTTATATAGGGGTTATCTAGGGGTATATTAATATTGGGGTTATATAGGGAAAATGGAAAATGAAATGGAAACTAGAGTATGTAGGGTTTATATTGGGGTTATATAGGGAAAATGGAAAAGAAAATGGAAACTACAGGGATTCTAGGGGTTATATAGGGATTTAAGGAGTATATATTGGGGTTATGTAGGGAAAATGGAAAATAAACTGGAAACTACGATATGTACGGTTTATATTGGGGTTATATAGGGATAATGGAGAAGAAAATGGAAACTACTGCAGTTTATTGGGGGCTTTGATGCCACGAGATTGGCGGACGCTTATGCGAACTCCAAATCATCATCCAGATTTCTCTGAAGAAGTAGCATGCTGCGACATGTCTTTACTCCCGCAGGGGGCCCCGTACAGCAATACCCTTGCCATGCGAATGCGCCGATGGGACTCTTACCCACCCCCGCTCTTTAACAACTCGTATAAATGCGCAAGCAAGCTAGTTGTAAGACGAAGAGACGCGCCAGAGGCTGGAAAGCCATCATAAATCCACAGTCCTGAGATGACACGGATCAAAGTATTGAGAAATGTTCCGCAAGTGACTTGTATGGGCAGCGTGGAAGACATATCCAGCCTATGTGAGGCTCATGTTGTATGAGGCATACTACCCAGCTGAAAATTCCGTAGAGCCTTCAAAAAACACATAAACATAATGAGATCCAGAGTAACTACAAGCTCTTCATGGAGCCCTGTTTTGGATGACGGCGCCCGTACAGGCCCCTGCACTGGGTAGGTTCATCCGTTTCGGGAGACATCTGCAGCTGTCAGCACATGCGTTCGGCCCGCAGCCATGATGCTGCAATAATTGCCGAAATGATCTCTGCAAAGCACCGCGGCCACCAAGGACGAAGAGGACTGAGATTAGCAGACTATAGCCAAAATCTTAACTTTCAAGCAGACGCGGAAGAGCAGACGCGATCATATACAGAGTCGAAGAGCGTCCATGCTGGCGAAGATAAACGCGTTCATGCACGACCACATACGGGTTTGAAGAGCATCCATGGTGGCCGAGATAATAACGTTGATGTACGACCATACACGGGCCCGAAAGGGTTCGAAGAGCATTCATACTGGCCAAGACAACAATTGATAATAACTCTCATGTACGACCATATACGGAATCAAACAGCATCCATGCTGGCCAAGATAATAGCGTTCATGTACGACCAGGGGTCCGAGCCACGGGTGCTTGACTACTTGTGACAGTCCTTGTGGCATAAAGTCAGGGGCTTTCGCAAGCTCTTCCACAAGCTTGGACAGCTGACGAAACCAGCCTGACGTAAACGTCGTTTTCGACCCAGGTGCGCTCATGTAAAACGCGCACGGCACTGTGGCGAAACCTCCCAAAGGCAACAAGTTTGCCACTGGTTCTAGCACTTCGCGCATCTCCTGTTTACCTGCTTTGTTTAAGCAATGTGCGTTTCACCAGAGTTTTGCCCGCGTCACAGCTTTCTGCATGTAAGTCGAACGTGCTTAAACACAGGGGCCCGTAGAGGCGCGGTGACCCTGTTTTGAGGATCCTTGGCATTGTTTGATCTTGTGGATCCGCGAAACCCCCAGAGGATGATCAACCACATTGCCAAAACCACTTTCAGACAGAAATCCTGTTCAAGCCTTGTTTGACACAGTTGTGCGGGCTGAGGAAAGCTGCAATAGCTGCATGCGAGAGTCTCCAGTGATGCCACAGCACCCCTTGTCCTCCAGCCACTTCACGGCGAGCCTGAACTCCTCGCAGGACAGCGAACCGCATCACAGAAACCAACCTACTATCAGGCAAACAGTTATACAAGTAGTCAAACGATGGGGTTTAGGGAGAATATCTACATCAACTAAATGAAAGGGGAAGAGTGGCGGCTTCGCACGTGGAGTATCCGTACTACCAGGGGAGATCGGCAGATTACAAAGCATCAGCTGATTGCGTGAACACCACGGCAGCGTTGCATGTTCATCTCGGCAACATATGACGTCGAACACAAGCAAGAAGCAACTCGAATTGAATGAGATTACCTGCAAGGGCCTTCTCGACTTCGGGGGAGAGCTTTCCAGCTTGTGCCATCTCGAAAGTGAAGCCAGGCACCACACGAAACAGCACCTGGGCCGAGACACAGACACAGTACCCCTCGGACCACCATCAAGTTATGACGTTTTGAAGAGGAGTGTAGGTTAAGCACCACGGTAAAAGTCCCAAACTGGGCTTGAGACCCGCCTCTTAGTGGCCCTTCTAGTCGTGCATAGCCATTTTTGTTATGGCTCCCCCTTCACTCATCTTTCTGTTGCAAGGTGTTCGCTGAAGAATGCTATGCGTTACAGGGTAGGGCTTGGGCAGGAAAGACAAAGGACTCATCGGATGAGCCGCTGCTCCCGGAATTGACTTGTCTACATTGGGAAGCCCCCAGGCCGAAACTCATTTTCCTGTTTGGGGTTCCAGCACCAACCATCATATGGAGAATCGAAGGGAAAACAAAATGGAAATTGAGCCTATATAGTACCAAGTAACGAACAAAATAATCAAGGTAATTCAGAACAAGTTCAATACCCAACTTAAGGCCATCTTGATACATTTCCCTATAAAAACCACCATTTAGGGTGAGGTCGGGTGGGGTCGCTTTAAATTGCCCAGAATAATGACCACATACTTACATGCGGACGCCGGAAAGTTTTCAAACGGCCGAGAGGTATCGCGCATACTGCGCCAGCACATGGCATGAGAAAACCAAACTGAACCCCATACTTACCAGTGCCCCATGATTTGAAGTTGTTCCGCATCGAAAACAGCCAGACCTCGACCTTGCCACAATCAAACATTCTGCCTACCAATCCGAGGCAAGTTCCAAAAATACTCGTCAAATTTGCCTTCAGGGCCTTGCCGAGGTTTCATTAGATAGCTCCTACCAATCCTATCCTACTGTCCCTTGTCCCGAGTGAAACCCTGGCACATCGTAGTCGTAGCTTCCGGGATGATCGATGTCGCCCGCCGCGGGGGGGTAGTTGTAGTCCAAGCGCCTTGGGCAGCGAGGCTGCGGGATTGCACGAACCAGCGTGCTTTTCTTGATGGGTGACTTTTTGCACATGTAAGGAAAGAGTTTCTGAAGATCCTGCACAGACAAGTCAGCGTGTGTAGGTGAAGCACAGCCGGCCCTCCAAATCACATTACGAGGATCTTCAAATTCACAGGCGGACAGGAGGCAAGGGCCCTGCAAGGTCGCGGAAGTGCCGCAAGGAACTCCATTTGGGTAAGGACAGCCCGCAAGGAGGTTGGGACTCGACCCCTTATCCTCAAATGCAGCAACTGGCGCAGAATGCCCAGCATGGGAGACTGCTGTTTGCGAACCTTCTTCTGAACCTTGTCCAGCTTCTTCCTTGCAAATTGGGACTTGGTAGTTTCCCAAAATAGAGGACCCCAATATAGACCCCAAAATATTATAACCCTTATTATGAGGACCCCCAAAATGGTACCCTTAATTTTGGGAAACCCAGAACCCCTAAAACCTCTATATACCACCAGTTTCCATTTCATTTTCCATTTTCTTTTCCATTTGATTCTCCATTATTGGGGTAATATCCCTAATTTCACCCTTATTATGGGGACCCCCAAAATGGTACCCTTAATTTTGGGAAACCCAGAACCCCTAAAACCCCCATATATATAATCCCCCATATAATCCCAGTTTCCATTTCATTTTCTTTTCCATTTGATTCTCCATTATTGGGCCCTAATTTTCTCAATTTTGGGAAACCCCCACTTGGCTGCAGAAGCTTGAGGAGCCAGGATTTTGCACGATCGCAAACCATCTTTGCATGCGGTGCTGGTGTGCGATGTCTGCTGAAGAAAGCCTCATGATGTCTTTGAGGAGGCATATACTATTACAGCTTCAGCTGGGGTGATGTGAGCAGAGCTCTTTACTTCCATATCACACCCGCTTGCAAGTACAAAATTCAGACACTACAAGCTGAAGGCGCAGGACTCGCCATGCGCTGCAGCTCCAGAACCACTCATTCAAGTTAAGCCTGACAGTGGGATCCTGAAGTCCTGAACCAGAGTAACCCAGACCCCTGATCAACAAACCCCCTCCCTTAATAGGGATTACAACAGGGATCCTAATATCTAGGCCCTTAAAAGGAGGGGGGGTTATTAATCATGGGTCTACATTAGGTGCACAAAACTGGCACTGTCGTTTCAAGCATCATGTTCCCAATGAAATTCTGCCAAAGTACTTCTTGTGCAGGGCACGGGACTTCTTCTCCTCCTTCCACTTGTGCTTGCCTTTGTCGAAAAACACGCTATTCCATCGGGATAGGATGGTAAAAAGAGCGATGGAAGATTTGTGGGTCATACCTGGCTTGGTTTAGAACTAATGACCTGCTTGCTCGTGCAGGAGCTTGTCTAAAGGATATCACGCGACTCCCAGCGTTTTTAAGGCAGGGGTGCACGCCTAAGCTTTCTGCTGTACAAAGTATATTATGGCTATTTGGGTATAATCTTGTATATTATAGTATACTATACTTACAGTATATTAGTAGTTTCCATTTATATTTTCCATTATCCAAAAAATAAGGATTATAGCATGTCAGCAGCCTCAGCCGGTCAAGGATGCAGGCGAGTGGCTTACCACCAATGACAGCTCATCCTTTCAGGCGAATTTCAGGCTTTTCTTCACGCTTTTTCTGCACAATTTAGGGTTTTAAGGGTTTTGGGTTAAGGGTCAGGGTGATTTAGAATAATTTCAATTCCCAATTTAAGGCCATTTTGGGAGTACTCCCTTTATTAGGCCCTAATTAAATTGCCAGTCCTTTGTGAGGTTGAGGCCGAGCTCATACTCCTCGTGCGTGCCATCCCATGCTTCCTGCCAATCCTGAGTTGAGTTGGAGCGCGGACTAACAATGGAAAATAAAGTGGAAACTACTAATGTAGTATAACTATAATATACTATAATAATATACCCTAATAGGTACAAATCCAGATGAGCTCAAGAGCCCAGAAATGGTTCCGCAGGGCCAAATGTGAAAGTAAAAGATAGAAGTAAGTAAGCGTAAGCCCCTCAGCTTTACATTCCTCCCTGAACTTGCAGGAACCACTGTTCGTACTCCATCATCATCATCATCATCATCACCATCATCATGATCATGAAGCGGTTCTTAAGATGGCCTGCTGCCCAAGTCTATGACGACAGGAGGCTGTAGGACTGTAGGTGCTGTTGTCGGCGCTTTGCTTCTGGACATCCTATCACCAGTCCTTGCATCCTGCTTGGCTGCTTGAATTCTTTCCTCTAGACTAGAGCCTAAGCAACAGTTTGAGTCACGAAGGCTCCAGAACCGGAAAGACCTTTGAAGAAACAAACATGCCCCAGCTTATATATGTGTGGCCGCTGGCCACGGCATCAAACTCAACCCCTGCTAATTCTCCAGAAGTCGTTGTGGCCGAACCTTGGATTGTCTTGGTGCGCAGAGATGTAGAAATCGGCGGCAGTAACGGCATCCTGGCTGCTTTGCTTGAGCGCCCACTTATACATGCATCCCACTGGCTTGTGCTGTTTGTGAGAACTGCGCTACAAATGACGGTCAGACTTTGTATGTTTTTGACAAGCCATACTGATTGTAAGATTGCGGCTTGCGCTCCAGTGCTCGGGCATTGTCTCTATGGTCCAGGCCCCACGCATGCCGTATTCTGAAGGCCGTTGCGGCTCTAGAAGCACATCGTGAGGACGAAACTAGTGAAACGTGTCGGGGGCTGTCAAACAGCGTCTCATGAGAAACTCTGATAAGTCCACTTCGGCAACTCCATGCCATGAATTCGCACAGCATTGAAAGCCGAGTATTTTGTTACAGTAGCATGTTCATCCCCCACCTGCATATCAAGGCTAAAGCCAAAGGGCCCAAACAGGCAAGCCGGTGTGGTAACGCAGCGCATCCGCGTAAGGCGGTAGCTCCGTGCATTCCTGTGGACAGATGCTGGGCCTCTTTAGGGTTCGGGTTCTCTGAAGGGCTTGTCAGCTTCACACTCATACTATTATTATTTGGGGTTATATATGGGGACAATGGAAAAGAAAATGGAAACTACTATAGTATATTGGGGCTATATTGGGATATTATTATTGGTATTCTTATAGTTGTTGTTACTATTCTTATTACTACCACTTTGTTTGTGATTAGTACACCCCCATGACGTTCATCATGATGATGGTGGAATTGTTGACAGTGGCGCCAATATCATGAACAGTAAAAAGAAAAGTGGCCTTGGAGCAATTGCCACAACCTTGCTCTTTCTTTTTACCCTCATGGGCAACAAGCATGAAGGTACAACGATGCTCAGGTTGGATTCTGCCAATCTAGGCCAATACCGGGGCTTCTGAAAACAAAATGCCAAAGGTTCATGGGTGCTGTTTGGTTCAGTTTTTGGATTTGGGAAGCAGGACCTGGGAATTCGGAGTTGATTTTATGTAGAGCTGTGGGATATGAGCCGTTGTCTGAACCTAGCATCCCCTTAATAACCCCTATAGTACTCTCTTATATGACCCCCTTTAAGGAGTTCAGGCTGTCGCTCATATGCAGGTGCCTGCCAGGAAGCCTCTAGATCGCCTCCGCAAAGTGGAAAGCGGATAGGAGTTCAAGCAAAATGCGGGTTTCCTTTCTAAAATTAGAGGTGCGATTTTGGAGGCACCTACAGAAAGGATTATAGTATACTGCAGTCTGTATTGGAGTCCCTCTTATTTCTCGAGACTACCAAATCTAGCTTTCTTGAATGTCTCATTGACATTCGTACTGAATGTCAATGGGACGTCCAAGAAAGCTAGATTTAGTAGTGTCAGCAGAGCTGGCACGCAGTCACCAACGAGTTGTATGCAGGGAAGGGTTCAGGTTTGCGGCTGAGGTGCCAGAAGGATAGCAGAGATGCGCGGGTGCTGCTTCATCGTATCCTCCACGAAGGGTCATATGACGGACTTCAATGGCCTGCAAAATACCTCTCGGCCTTGTTTCCACGAGAGTATATTGCGAGCGGGAAGGCTGACAAATGCTTGGACAAGCCCGTGCACAAAACTGCCTGCAATGAATCTCTCGAGACTAGAATGAGCCGCGTGCACGCTGAAGACTCTGAAGGCAGGTATGACATATGTTTGCACACTAAACATGCACTCGTGTGACAATGATGTGACGGTGAATATAATTTCCATTCAATACTATCACGAGGAGACATGCGACAATCTTCTTCAAGCACTCTTGCTGCTTCGTCGCTGCCTCCTGGGCCCTCACCGTTACTGTTAATGAAGAGGGCTGTCCTTCACCAGCTGCACAATTCCTGGCTGCACTTTCTCCAGCGGCACCTAAGTACTCCACTGCAATCCCTTAATACTTTTAGAGGTTTCAGGATCGCTTTCTAGTGGCTCCCTGCTTTCAATGCTCTGCCGTCTGAGCAGAGCAAAAAAAACGCATTTGGATAGAAGATTGCCAATGCTCAGAATACAGTCTTGAGTGCAGAGCTTTCTTTCTCAAACACTTCAGGCAATCCCAGCAGGTTTCCTTAGTCTTCCTCTGTAATCCAGGTCCTGTTCAGAGGGCTCAACGCACCGATATGTGAAATCTCCCGCACACGGAATGCAACATCTCCGATGGTTGGTGAATCTGCATACCAATTGCGCCCAGACATCGGAGGAATGAACTGACCATAGGTTGTCGTGGAAAGCTGGTATGAACCCTTGAGCATGAATCATGAAAGAAAGCCAGAAATCAATAGAGACAGATCAAAACTTTGGTGGAGGAGTCCCTTGCTGCTGAGATTTGCCTCCTGCACAATGTTTACCGCGACAAGCTCATTCAAATAAGTCAAAGTTGTAGCTTCCAAGGCACTTTGCCACCCAACGCCACCGCCTCGAAACCCGGTACCATCTGGCAGCCCTTGATGATAAAACGATCCTGCTGCCACGGGCGAGGAACGACTGCCAACATCGAAAGCATGCGGAGGCCCTTTGAGATCTGGCCTTGCCATCTTCCTAAGGTTGTAGGTGTTCGGCCATGCTCTGCCGGATGCACTGCCAGAATCATACCACAGTCTGATACGCACAGGGCACATGCATGCACATCTTTTGACACTCCATGACGCCATAAACCAAGTACAGAACGCATGTTGAGTAATTGACTCCGGGCCTCGTCAACGTCAAAGCCGCAAGTACTCAGCAACACTGTCTTTTGCGGCTTCAGATGATGATCGTTGGCCTCATATGAACAAAGGCAAAGATGCCTTCAAAATGGTTGAGACTTGCAGACACCCAAATTCTGAACTCATGCGCTGCCTGCAAATTCAGAAGCACTCAAGCAGGAAAGGGACTGCAGCCACGCACCTGAGGCCTGTGATTAAACTTGTCTGGGTGAGATCTCCCACATTTTTTATATGATCGCAACCGGATGAGAAGTCTTGATCCAAGTCTAGCTCAGATAATGTGAATCAGTCATGCATTGCAGCGTGTGGAGGCCCATGTTGATATAAGTGGATGTAGAACCAAGCATGTTGGGCGGGTGGGCGTAATGGTCATACGCCCTAACTACATGCTATGCAAAGGTATTTCTCTTTTGCGTCGCAGCCTCAGGTAAGCAATGTACTTGGGCTGAAATGAACCATGTTCAAGGTGTTCTCGTCATGATTAGAAACCATCACTGTTAGTGCTGTTCGTACTACCATCAACCTGATATACCTGTGTTCCTACTGTCACTGCCACTTCCTGCGATGCTTTTTCCATCATTAGATCATTCTTCCTGCTGACAATATGGTAGTTCCAAAAATAGGGACCCAATGTAGACCCCAGAAAACTATAACTCTTATTACAGGGACCCCAAAAAGCATCCCCCAACTTTAGGAAACCCTAACCCCTAAACCCTAAACCCTCAATCCTATATGTCCTTTGTTACCCGAACCCTATATATATATATACATATGTAATATAAATATATGCACATATCCCCTATAACCTTTCTAAAAGACTCTAAGCCCTAAACCCTATACCCCTAGTCTTGGGCAACCTGATATTGGATTGCCAAGTGACGGTGAGCAGCAGAATCTGGTCCTTTGGCTCCAGGGAGGCCGCGATGATAGGGCATTGCCTGCCAGCCGACTACGAGCAAGTGAGCTATAGTCCAACTCCTGGTATCCCCCTAATACACCCTGTAATATTCTCCTTTAAGGAGTTAAGACTGTACCTCATTTAGGGGTCCTAGATCGAATTTGCATTGCAGAGCTTTAGGGACATGCTTGAAAGGGAATAAGCGTGTTGGCATTCGCATCTGCGATCTTCAAGCAGACCCCTGCATGACGCATTCCTAAAATCAATACACGCTCAAAGTACATGCACCTTGAATGGATGCTGGGACCAGGTCCGCAGGAGTTGTCAGGAACTCGTGAAAATCTTACAGTGCAAGAATTACCGTCTGAGTCTGAGCCATTCCTGCGGGGAGATGTTGTAGCTGAATCTTGACAGAACAACCTTCATCAGCCATGCCACACCATGGAGGACATGAAGATGGGCTTGGCTGCAATCTTCCTTGCAGGGGCACGGAGACTCAAGCCATCTCTACAATCTTCATGAAGGTCAGACACCCCAGAAGACTGCGCACCATTGTGCACTTGTGTGCATCACAATGAATTTCATGAATCCAAAGGAATCTGCCCAACGGACTCTGATGATGGGTTTACTTCCACCGTGTGCTCCTCGCGATCACGTGGAAGGCCATCATGAAGCCACAGTCACCAGTGATGGCAGAACATCCACGAGCCTCAGATCGGAATACAATGTCCAATATGTGGATAACGGAGAATCGGAAGGAAAGAACATGGAGAAAGCAAATGAAAGCTGGGATTCTACAGGGTTTAGAAGGATAATTATCCATATTCTGGAGTTCTATAGGATGCGTCGTTAGTTCGATCAGCTACGGCAAAGAGTCGATGCACACAACAAGCGTGTTGAAGTTTGGTTTTGCAGTTGCCTGCCTTTTCATTTGGCAGCTGTCTAAACACTCCTGGGTGGGTTGACTCCAATTAACCGTTAAATAACCCATGCAAGGATTCCACGTTGGTACAGGGGAGGTTCTGCCTATACCAAGGGATATGCCGCTGTGGCGGAGACAAATACGGGAAACAGGGGAAATTCACTCCCAGCTGTTGGACTTGGATGCTATAGGGTTTGTATAGGGCATTCATAATGGAGGATCAACTGGAAAAGACAAAGGGCAGTGAAATGGAAACTGTGATAATAAAGAGGCTTATAGGGATTTAGGCGTGGTAGATACCACAATCATGGTGATGGTTGTAACACTCACCATCACTATCACCACCATAGTCAGAGCCATCATGGGGACTATCTGATGACGTGATTCACTCCCCATTGTTGAACTTGCGTGGTAAAAGCTTCGTGGTAAATGCTATGATAAGAAACAGGAAGGGATTCAATACGGATGCGTCAACCAAATCTGTCAGACAGGTAGCTGTTCCATCACACCCTAAACCAGAAACCGTTGGGATCCCTACAGCGATGACCCCCGAAAGGTGCAACCCCAGCCTGAGGCTTCCAAATAGCCTGCTCATCACCTACTACCCATCTTGCCCAGAAAAAATATTGTATGACCCGAATACTTGCGATGATCATGCCATATCAATCCCCTGTTATCCTTTTGCTCCAATACACCTCGACACCCTGTTCTGCTTGTTCAAGCTCCCACACTCACACGTCTTGATCGATGACCAGAACAGCCGGCCTCAAGATGCTTGATGGCATCGGCGAAGCGGCGCTCGACATCTTCGGGGAAATGGCCTTCCTGTGACAGGGCAGTGAGTGGTGGGTGGATCTTTCTCAGAGTTCAGGGGACCTCCCTTTCTTAGCATCGATCTGTCCGGGTGTTTCTGTACCCCAACAGCAATCTACACAATCCAACTTCGAGGAGGACCCATGATTTGAGGAATCCGCTTCAAAACCTTGCAGATATGAGCCAGTCTAAAAGTTCTAGTATCCCCCTTAATAACCCCTATAGTAGTCCCCGATATAATACCCCATATGACCCCTTTAAGGAGTTTAGACTATGGCTCACATGAGGGATCCAGGGCACACCATTTTGGTGCCAGGCAGAAAGCCGCAGTATTGTCTGAACGTTGTTTGGGCCCTGAAGCGTTGCAAGCTGCAGCAGTTTCCGGACACTCCTGGAGCGCCTAGACAAAGGGTCGGGTTTGGTTTACATAATAGTAATAATAGGAATATTGGTAGTAATAATAGCAGTAATACTACTAGTAATAGTAATTATCGTAGTAATGATAATAATAATAATCGTAATAGGATTAATCGTAATAGAAATAATACATCCGAGGGAACGCAACCACCCTGAGCTAGCAGTTTTCGACCACTGGTTCCTCCACCTGAATAACAGTCTTGTGGACAGCTGGCCCCATCTCATTCACAGAATCCCCACTATAACCCCACACCGAGAAGCACCTGAAGAGATGTCTTGAGTCAAATCGTGGCCAACTTTGCTACTAAAGCCTCATTCAGCCAGTCTATAAATCACAGGCGCACATTTTTAGCCCAAGCAGGTGGCAACTAGGTTTTTCACATATCCCTGGCCAGTGTCCTGCAACCACATTCCATTCTGCAACCTCTCACGCAGAAGCCTAAATAATTGTGCATCCCTCCAAAGAGGGTTCTAGGGGCTATGATTCTTGGTTATAGGGGCATGTATCGTTTAGGGTCTTGGGTATAGACGGTCATAAATCTCATGGCCAGCCTTCAGGGTTTAGGGTTTAAGGTTTAGGGTTGGCTGCAGAATTGCACCCTCCGGCCTGGCACATCTCAAAAGTCAAGCCTGGGCAGCATCTGTAGTAGACCTCATATCCAAAGCTGCCTGCAGAAGATAGCTGAGGGTCTGCAGCTACATCATTGGTGCAGGATGAGGCCTTGGGAACTACTGCTGCTTCAATCCCTAAACCCTAAATCCTAAATAGTAGTTTCCATGTTCTTTTCCATTATCCCTGTATAATCCCTTTATAACCCGATATAACCCTATATGACCCCTATATAACCCCTGTACAGAAAGATCTGTAGTTTGCAGTGCATGTCAGGACTATATGATGGATGTAGCAGATCAAGGCTCAAAGCATCTCTTCAAAAAGGGATTATGTAGGGTTCAGGGTTTTTTAAGGGATATATAGGGGTTTTGTTGGGATAATGGAAAAATGAAATGGAAACTACAGGGATTGTAGGGATTATATAGGTATAACATTGGGGTTATACGGGTGATATACAGGGGAAATATTGGGATTGTGGAAAAGAAAATTGAAACTACTCTAGTATAATTGGGTGTATATACATGTGTATATATATATGGGTTATATAGGGATAATGGAAAAGAAAATGGAAGCTACTATACTATAATAGGGTAGTATAGGAAATATATTGGGGGGTAAAACATGGAAATATATTCGGAAGGGGTGTCGATGCTGAAGCAGCGGTAGTGATGAAATTGTGCTGTGACTGGTAATGGGCTGCAGGAAAACGAAAGGCATTGAGGCATTTTCCGGAATCACAACTCTCGAGGAAACCTCGCTTCCAAGCCTGTCATCCCTTATATAACGCCAATGTTATACCTATATAACCCCTATAAGCCCTGTAGTTTCCTTTGTATTTTCCATTATCCCAATATGACCCCTATATGTCCCCGGTTGCATCTTGAATGTTGCTCTGTTTGAGCCCGGGCGTTGGGGTTGCCAATGGCATTGAGGGTGTCTGTTGACCGCTTGCCAGAGTGATACAGACTCTAAGACTCTACGAGTACATGGGAGCTCTTGTATTAGCAGCATGTAAAATCTCCTGGAAGACGTGTCCGGGTCCGGACCCCGTAATGAAGAAAACTCTGCTCTAAGCCCTAAGTCCCTGCCACTCTCGGCTCAGCCTGGATGGTCAGAGTCTCCCGGGGCTGGCGGATATTCGTAGTCCAGGCGGACGACACCTAGAGCAGGATGCCTGGGCGGCGCTGTTAGAATCCATGACAAGAGTTCTCGTCGTGGTGGAACAGCTGCGGTTGTTGCTGTCGTAGTCATGAAGCCGGCGCTGGCGACGGCGAAGGCAGGGGTAGCGGAGGGGATGGCGGCAGTGGCGGGGCGAAAGTGTTGGTGGCGGTAGTGGCGGAGGTGGTGGTAGCGGTCGTATAGCAGTGGTAGCAGTGGTAGCAATGCTACAGTATCCCAAATAATTAACGATTACAGCCGTGGTAGCGATGGTAGTGGTGGTTGTGGGGCAGTGGGATGGAGGGATGTCGGTGGCAGTAGATGGCGGGTGGTCGCGAGGCCGGTGGTCGCGGTGGTAGTAGAAGTAATCGCAACATCCGAGGAGTGCAAGGAAGAGGGCGGGCCAACGTAAGAGGAACACACAGAGAAGAAACAGGTGATGCTCAAGACTTCAATCTCAGCGTCTGCCAAGGATGCTGCTTCTTTGCGAATGTCCACCCACCACTAGACAGCATAGGTGAAAAGTGCAAATTTTGCCTCACATGCTTACAAGCACTTCTCAGCCTGCGTCGTCTGAGTACCCTGGACCCTAAGCCCCAAATAGTACTTTCCATTTTCTTTTCTATTATCCCTAAATAACCCCAATATACTATAGTAATAAGAATCAGGTTATAACCCCTACAAACCCTATATAACACTCATAAACTATTATATATAAACACAGTTTCATGTCGTTTTGCGATTCTCGACTATTGGGGTTATATATACTTTTGGGACTATTACCAGTATAGAACCCCCTAAACCCTAAAATACTATTATTATTGTTATTAACCCTAAACCCTAAGTAGTAGTTTCCATTTTCTTTTCCATTATCCCAATATAGCCAAAACACAATCTACTATCATAACCATTACGATTAGTATTACTATTACCAAAGCCTAAACCCTAAACCCTATTATTACTATTACTATTACTATTACTATTACTATAACCATTACTATTACTATTACCATTTCTACCAATATTACCACTACTATTAAGATTACCAAAAACCCCAAACCCTAAAACCCTAAACCCCTAAACCCCTAAACCCTAAACCCCTAAACCCCTAAACCCTTAAACCCCTGAACCCTAAACCCCTATCAACATTATTAGCTTGCCCTAGGCAAACCCGGCAGCCGCGGCACTTCGCCTTCTTCTTGGCTGGCGCCGCGGCGGCCACTTGGCCACCCCCCAGGCCGCCTTTCCTGAGCATGCAGTTGTCCAAATAATTATATGGTTGTTTCCCAAAATAAGGGGACCCCAATATAGACCCCAAAATACTATAGTCCTTATTATAGGAACCCCCAAAAGGGTACCCCTAATTTTGGGAAACCCCCATATAGGGGTATAATATAGGGTATACATTGGGATAATGGAAAAGACATGGAAACTACAAAAAATATGGTGGCTATACAATGGATTTTTTTGGACTTATGTTCATTTTGAGATTTCTGCCTGAAGAATTGCTCACTTGGGCATCTAATCCATCAATACTTAGACCTGCCTCACTCACCCTCCGAAGCCAAGGAATTGAATTACCAGGCCACGTAACCTGCCCTCAAGTTGTCTTCGAGCACTTCACCCTCTCTCCACAGGTGCAAGCTGAAGGGAAGGAAGTGTCGGCTCCAGTTCCCTTCAAGGGAAGAAGGAAAAAGAAGGAAAAAGCTCAGAACATTCCTTGAACGGCAGCTTGCCCTTAGTAGCCACGCAGACTCAAGCCGCCCACTGTCTCTAAAGAGCGGAGTTCACCGCACGATTAGTTCCGCCAACACACTGCGAAGGACTGCCTGAGAGTTCTCACGCTGTAGGGTCTGGCAAGAGCCGCTCCGACCCGCTTCTGGCAGCAAGAGCTTGCTGAATGTGCACGGCGGCAGGCACCCTGCCCCCACCCCAGGCCACAAGGACACAAAGACCTCGGCCGTGTCCTTCTCCATTGCCGGCTCCAATCATAACTGCACTCGCATCCTCACTGCCCGCTGGGCTAAGCTTCTTTATGGCGTCGGAGGCCACGGCTGCGTGTTTTCCAGGCGCCAAGTCTTGATTTTGATGATTCTGTCAATGGCTCCTGCCTTCTCCGCTCCGGGGAACAGGCCTGCGGCTGAGAACCGATCTCGAGATTGCGCTCAGTGCCAGCACCTGCCACTCCACGCCGTCGCTGGGCTGCTAGCGTTGTTCAATGTCAAAGTGTCACCCTCAGGTCCTCGATGACCGTAACCACCACATAATCATGAATAAGCCATAGTCCTCATCACCATCAATCAGGATTCATCTTCTTAATCATCATCATCATCATCATCATCATCACCATGATCCCACATCCATTGGTGCCTATAGCGAAGCATCCTGTTTGCCGTCACCTCCTCTTCAACAAACGGGATCAAAGGGCCACGTCCCAAAGCCAAGTAATTACTTGCAGAATTTAAAGGAGACTCGACGAGGGTTATAGAAGCAGCAAGAAACATAAGACAGGAGCCTAAATACTTAGACCAGGCTTGGTAAGCAGCGTATTGCATTTATGCCAGCTCCATGCAGAAAGAATAAAGCAACTGTTCACGCTGCCACAGTGGCTCAAAAAGAGCACAGCCACTACTGCTGGCAATAGGTAGATGGCCAAGCAACCAATACAAACCATGAAGACAATTTGACAGCGGCAATGCTTTCACATCGTGATATGATGATGATGATGATGATCATGATGGTGCCGATGACTGACTGCGCCTGTGGTTTGGGACTTCAGATTGTTTGGCTTCAGCTACGAGATTTCTTGAAGGATTGAAGCTCTGGACCAAAAAAGCTTTGGCCTGGCGCGTGTGAAGGAAGCTGCTTTCGCAGACTGGTACTAGGAAAAGCTCTGCCTACTAGTTGAATAAGATACACCTTTTGCCAACGCTTTATGGATAACGTGGACGTATCTCATCGCATCACAACTGACTGGAGTGACAATCTCATGGCTGCAGGCAGGCTAGGATTGTGTCGCAGTACCGCAGCATACTATACAGCATTCCACACTTGCACATATTACTGTCACTGCTACTTTGCGAGTGTCTACATGTTTTACACACTCAACACAAAACCTGCTTAGCGAATAGCTGCTGAGACCAGTGTTGTGATCATTTAAACTGAGCAGGCCAAACAGACAGTCTGCTTACCCCCGCAGCAATCGAAGCCCAAAACTCCTCTGTCAACTGAGGCTCTTGATGTTCTCAATGAGCTCTTGGTGTGCCCTCATCAAGTCCACCTCATGCTGCACGCAGGTTTCCCAAATTCAGGAGGACCACTGATGGTTCAAACCTGGTACGGGGACCTTTGAATGCGGGTACTTGCCTTCGACCCTTGGCTGGGCAACCCCCCCGGAAAGCTTTGGGGCCTCTCTCCTACGCAATGCCGGCGCGAAATGCAGCTGTGATGGGGCACCCTCCTCACAACAACCCTGTACGCCAGCAGTGCATTCTGCCCATTGCCAAACCACGTTCTTAGCAAGCCCATCGCCAAATCATGAAAACTAGTAGCTAGCCGCCACTGCGGCGACAGAGGCAATTCTATCGCCATACTGAGAGACCCAGTATAATCCCTAGATAACCCTATATATATATACCCTATTATGTTATGGTAGTTTCCATGTTATTCTCCATTATCCCTGTATAATCCCAATATATACCCCATTATATCACTCTAAAATCTGAGAAGCATGATGCTTGGCGAGGTCGTGATGCCGTTGGAGGAGGTCGTTGTGGCTTTTCTGCTGATCCTTGCAACACACGGGGCCAAAGAAAATGGAAACTACTATGGTATATTGGGGTTGTATAGGGATAATGGAAAAGAAAATGGAAACTACTATAACATATTGGGAGCCTTGGAGGGGTATCGCAGGATTCTGGAACCCCTTCAGTCTTGAAGGAGTAGCAGAACACCTACGAAAAGTCCCAAACTGGCTTCAGTGAAAGGAGGAACCTTTTCTAAGCAGCATCTCAGCCTGAGCGTTGTGAGGCTTGTACTAATACCTTTCTTATTGCTGGAGTTATTACTCTTACTCTTACTAATACCATTACTCTTAATGTCTCTAGTACGCTTACTCTTGCTATTACCATTACCATTCCTGTTACGATTGCTTTTGCTATTGCTGCTGCCACTACTACTCCTCCTAATCCTACTCCTACTCCTACTCTTACTCCTTCTCCTACTCCTACTCTTACTCCTGCTGATGCCGCTGCTGCATCTATCAACCACTACCACTTGTACTACTACTGCTGCCACCTGTTGTGGCCCTCATGGTCAAGGGTGACATGAGGAGGAACGTCTGACAAGATATATACAGTCATGGGCTTTGCTGCACAGCGAGTGTGTCGGGTCCGAGGTGACCAAGCCATGCAGTGTGGCTCACTGCAACATCGCCAGCACCCACAGCACCCCCAGCACCACCAGCAAGCAGCAGCAAGCAGCAGCACCACCACCACGTCCATCACCACGTCCATCACCAACGCCACGACGACTACCACGACGACTACTACACTTCTTCCACTCCTACGCCCACTTCTGATTCTACTTCCAGCACGATCACGATGACGATGCCGACTCCGATGCCGAGGCCGACTTCCGCTCCTTCTCCGAATCCTACTCCTATTCATACTCCTCGGGACATAGTCCCGCTAAAGTAGATAGAAGATGGCTTTGGGTACACTATAGTAAGATCCCCATAGTACCCCATATTCTATCTACTTAAGGGGGACTCTAGTCGTACCGTCCTACCTGCGCGCTGAAAGGAGAAAGTCAGCACTTCAGTGGGTTTCGCCTTGAGGCTCTGCACAATGTCCTTGTAGGCTTGCCTCGGCTGCTTCTAAATAGTAACCATAATAGTAACAATATTAGTAACCATAATAATAACAAGAATAGTAACCATAATAGTAACCATAGTAGTAACCATAATAATACTAATAATAAAAAAAAAAGTTCCTGCGAGAGAACAAATGGAAAGTTTTCTCAATATCCCGTGACTTGATTGAGCAAACAATTGAATCAGTGGATGTATGTTGCATGTCCAGCTGAAGCCGCGCAGTCTTCTAATTAGCTGGCCTTCCCTTCTTGGATCTCATTCTTGGAGCCTGTCCATGGGATACGGGACAATGGTCAGGCAACCATCTGCCCTGCTATTTTATGCAGGCCAGAGAAGGCTTCGAAACCTAGATCTTTCAGACACCCGCTGCCTTGCACATCAAAATAAATGAAGGTCGTCCTTGTGAGACTGACGGACCTGGCAGTAGCTTCAATAGACAGGGAAGTGAAAACAATGGCAGCATCAGCCATCCGACGCCATAGCGGCCATGGTGGTGAAAATGCGCAGCAGGCATACAAGCAGAATAGAAATGACCATATCAGAAGCAAAAGGTCAAGAACAGGTGTTGTCATTCTCATCGTCCTTAGTTCTCCTGAGTATCTCTTTTTCGAGTCTTTCAGAAAACGCTTGCACCTACGGTTATCTGAGACCTTCACAGTCTTCTCTCAGATGAGCTATCATCTAAACTCCTAGTATCCCCCCTCCTAATAACCAGTAAATAATCCACTATAGAACCCCCTTTCAGGAGTGTAGACTATAGCTCATATGTGGTCTGTAGAACATAGAGCATCATGGCATCATGCAGATAGTCCAGAACAGCTACAGGTAATGCTGCGTAGTCAAGCTGCCTGCGTTGACCTAGGAGCGATATACAAAGCAACTACGCATGTGCAGAACAGTTCCACCTCTCCAAACCCTTAACCCTAAATCCTAAATACGCTGAAGACACACCCCCAAATCTCAAACCCCGCGCCTTAGATTGGAAACACTAAGCCAGGACCAGCAGCATGAGTTCGCCGTGATTCTTGGTCTCGATGTTGGCGAGTGAGGGCGCTGGCCCAGTCGGCCTGGGGCGCAAACGCTTTCAAGTCTGAGAACCGTGTTTAGTTTTGAAGCACTCTGAAGCTGACACCAAACATCCATCTAGCTTGGCGCAAGTGGTAGTCTGCCACAACCGCAGGCTTTGCAGGAGATCACTCTTTGACAGGCTTCCTTCGTCATGTCTGAAGCGAACCTGCAGCCCATCAGTGCGAAAACCAGACGTGGATCGTAAAACTTAAAAGATGACATCAACAGCTGATGGTCAATTCCGCAAAGGACAGGCTGTTGCTACTACTTTTGGCCGGTGGCTGGATGCTTTTCGGATTGTCAAACAGAAGCAT